GTAAAACGTTTCTCTGAAACATCGTGCTTGATTCTTTCGTTCCTGGCACCTTTTTAAATCACGTTGAATCTTGCGCTACTAGTCTCTAACTGCTGTCCCAATAGATTGGTTTAAGGGCCGATTTATGCGGGCAGAACTACAGCCAGGATAACGATCTCTAAGATACAGAACAAATATAGCGACGATTTTACGCTCGATTCCGTAAATTGGGTATAGTCTATCATCGGAGAGCTCTACGTTTTGCCAATTGATCCTGTAACTTCGCTGCAGCCAGGCTTTTTAAGGTCAGACGTATTTATGTTTAGGCAATTACACTCTTCGAGCAATAATGTAAAAGATAACCCTATGCCCTCCTTCTGCATAAGATACGGCCTGATTACTGCTTCGCTTGTATACATACATTCCTAAATTTCCAATTTATTTATCATCATAATTTATATCCAAATGATCTGTGATTTTCTTTTGCAGCTCATTTGTACAGCTTATAACTCTGTTGTTGCGTTGAATGCTTTATAAAGGTATAGCAGTCGTTTATATTGAAATCTAAACGAAGCGACGTATGGATTGGCGCCAACTGTAACTAGATTTCTAGATCTTTTATTCGGAAAATTTGTTCATCATAAATCTCCCGAAATACTTACTTCAAATTCGTAGAAACTAGAATTACTCTACCCTCCAGTTTAGTAATCATAATATGATGATATTTAATTTTGATACCTGAAGTTCTTGCCTGAAGAAGGCCGATTTTTACTTGTAGTCTGTATTCTGTATCTGCGTTGTTATCAACTAAGAAATTATGGTGTTTCTGATATCTAGTGTTACATGCCATATATGCTCATTGCCTTGCTAATCAATTAAATAGTTTCACGTGCTCAATTTGATGACGGTAAGTGAAAACATCCTTCCATTCAACAAAGGCGATGCGGACGTAGTTGTCTTACAGTTCGATAGCGGAGTGTCTTATTCATGTGACGTTAGGTCCCTAACTATAACCTACCTTCTGTGTCAGGTTTTCGATTTAATTTCTATATATTTAGTAACGATATATTAATTAGCATACTATTTTTGCAATAAGGTACCACGAAACCGATTAGTGGCGGAGAGCGCTGCGGCTCAACTACCAAATGGTAAAAATGACGTTCACTACTGCTACTAGAGATCGCTTTGGCGTGAACGTTTTCAGCTCTGCAACTATTCGCTTTGCAAGGAAACCCCGATTAAGGAAGCGCTTCACTGTGACGTTATCTAGACGTATTCGCTTCAGTGTTTTTACATCATTTCGCTTTATAATTGAAATAATATGCCGTTATACGCTACGCCGTGTGGTCTGAAAATACAACAGTAAGAACTTCTTCTGCATTATTAAGATCATGGCTTTATACGTTGCGGCGTCCGTCTTCTATACTGCTGAAACGTGTATTACAACAGAAAGTATATCGTTTATAACGTTGTACACAGCTTAGAGTCTCGAAGAACACATATGTTTATTATTCAGTTCGATTTTAATGTGGCAGTGGTGACGTTTTCGATCATATGGGGGGTGTGGTTTAATGAAATGATGGTAAGTTCACTTATATCTTTCGTAAATGAGCTTATTTAAATAACTTTTTTTTCAAGGCAATAGTCGAAACCGGAATTTTTTGATGGCCGAAACGTAATACGGCACATTTTGGCACAGATAGCTTAAGAAGCTCGAAGCAGTCCTTTCGGTCATTTCATGACCGGATATTGGCGGAGATAGATGCTAAACATCGGGGCGAAATTATCGAAATATAGCGTGTGGGCTTCCTTGGCCATGTAAGAGTAAGAAGAGTCTGCAGAGTTATGAGAATAAAAATAACTGAGTGTATACCGCTATCGTCACAATGTGTAGCTATTCGATACTCTCACATACAACGGAATAACAATAATAGAAGCGCACTGCAGTATACTTCGTTTACAAAACTTTTGACTACATCGAAGGCCAATTTGTAGTTCCACACTTTAAGAATTGAAGGCGTATCGTCACAAGGATCGTAATATCAGTAGCTGTCGTAGCCATTTGCTGCTGCTTGATCTTCCTACGCAATGGTACCACAGCGGTTTCAAACACAATGATTCACACACGCGCCTCAAATGATCAAAGCGTCTGCTAAAAACCACTGGACAACAGCAGCGTGCTGTTGTTATTGATGATGGCACGTCTGGACTGCTACGTCGAGGACGCAATGGAGCAATTAGAACATGACGGGAAACTTATAAATCTAATATAATATATAAGAGTATAATGGATTGAACTTTGGTGGCTACTGCGGGAGTTTCGATGTTCACCACCTGTCAAATTCGCATGCTGTTAGCACCTTCTTATCGCCTTTAGGTTCGCCCTTTACTATAGACCATCTCACTATCCCAAATCGAATAAGGGCTTGGATTATGTACAATTAAACAGCTTCTGATATTGCACGCAGTATGATATAGATCGCTATTTGCCAAATTTGAGGTGCCGGAGCCATCCAACAGGACTATATTTAGTGTAGGCAACGATGCGCTAATGAGTAAATCTTGAAATAGCATGCTTGAGTACACAAAAGAAGCTCTATTTATGTAATGTTTATTTATTGAAGAAAAAACAAAAACTTTGATTTTTCGAGTTAAAAGCCCTGTCTGCACAGCCTGTAAGCTTTTCATTAGTTACTTTACTTTTTTTATGAGGAAATTTTCCCTGTCAAGACACAACCATCACCACTAGGTACATTACGAAACGGCTGGTAAGATATTGAATTTTATCGAAATAGTTTCAGTTCTAGTTTCAAGAAAGCATATAGATTGATGTATCCTGCGGAAGCCTGATAGTCTTTGTAAATTGCTACAATATGTTTCTGGCCTAAGCGAAAAACAAAACTCCCATGTCAAGAAAATTTCACCGAACTAGTGTGGACGAATGGCTTAGATAAGAGTCATATAACGGCCGTATTTGCAGGCCACTTTTCAAACGTCTTTATGATTTTCAGTCACAGGAACCAACTGACTTTCTCCTCCGTCAATCATTTTTATCGGGTCCGTTATGAGTAAAGCAAAAACTGAAAATAAAAGTTGACTTTAAATAAAATTCCGTTTACAGCAAGAAAGTCTGTAATTTCGATAATATCTGTACCTTTAACATTTATGTTCAACCTTTCTACGTTCCAGGAAAATTTTCTAGTCTAAAAGTGTCTTAGGTAATAGCTGCGTATAAAGGTGAGGGCGAAGCACCCCCATCGTATCGTCTTCCCGATTGGAAGGTGTTTCATTCGCATGGTGCAAAGCTACATATTTGTGGTAAAAAATGTTCTATTTCCAAACCGTACGCCTTCGCTGATGAACTGATTACAGTGGCCCCTTGCAATATATTCGACATGAAGCTGATGATGGAATGTATTTATGGAAGTATTTTTAAACGCACTTAGAGCGCTTATTTTAAAACGGCCTAGCATATTTAAACTATCCTATATGTACTACATACGAACTGTGCTTTTGTAAAACCTTTAACCTTGCTGCATTGGCATCTAAAAACAGGCAGTACCTAAAAGGCGATCACGCAAACAATCTTAGTCGTTCAAAAGTACACGTTAAGAGGCGTACATTAGTCGAGCTCATTAGAATGAACGCGTGCGCCATATTGAATTCTTAAGTTTAAAAAGGCTGTGCACCTATAAAGCAATTAGGGATGTTCTTAAATGGTTTGTCGGTAGTTCGACATGTGAAGCACTAAGCTGGTTGTTGCAACCTATACAAATAAAGTACGTTTTTGAAATGAATCGAGTTAACCAATACTCGACCTTTGTTACACACGCTTAGGGAGCATTTTAATTTCAATCTTGCGAAGTAAACTAAATAACATATCGTTTGCCACATATTCACTTAAGAGTCGTTTGTTTTTCAAGCTGCGTAATTTTTCATAACAGAACTTCACGGTAGTGTCCACATAATAGTACGTCGGTATACATTGTCGACGCCTTGCTAGCCGGTATACTTTGGTAAGCTACAGAGCGCAAGTACATCCTGTGTAAGTGATTCGACGTTTGCTTTGAACGTGGATAGTTCTATGCTAATAGAAATTAAGGATTAAGCTTTTAGGGAAACACTTCGTCAAGGTTATTCGCACCGCTCCAGATCTAGTTCTCTTCACATGGAAGCATGTGTATAGCAGCACCGAACAGCGATTCAACTCTATAAACCCGGCAATAAAACACGCCCGATAGCTGTGCTCGCAAAGGACAGCCCTAAAATATAATCTCGTAAATTTATGTCTTTTTCGGACACTTTACCGGGGCCTCTGTAGTGGGTTACGACGCGGTATAACATCGGTTGATTGACTTTCCGAACACCTAGCTTTTATGTTTATCAACATTCTTTGACTCTAGCATGGAACGTTTCAACACAGTAATTCTTGTTCGTGTTTGTACAGTGATTCCTCCAGAAATAAGCCCCCGTCCTTTTCTTTAAGGTTTCTTCAAAGCTGATAAATATTTTTCGACTAAGGCGTCGACAATATGTCTCACCATTCTCATTCAATCTATATAAACGATATGTGAGTTCCGCTTTTTTTCTGGTCTCATATTTTTTTAGTGTTCGAGGCAAGCTATCATGAATTATATTTTCGTCGATTTGTACGTGTCTGAAGTATTTGAGGCAGTTCGAGGAAATGTAACTGACTGCATACGTACTGCACACTGCACTTACGTTTAGTCAGCCTGTGGCAAATTACTTCCAAGATACACATATCTTGCAATATTTATCCTTTCCTTATTTCAATGTCTTTTTTCCGCCTCCTTCATTTACTCACTTTTAGTTACTATTCCGTATAGTGGAACAGGCATTTTGCGATAATAAGATTTGCAGCGAAAATTGCATACAGAAAACGTTTCCTGGGGACTGTACAGTTTAGCAACGATAGGCTGCGTTCTCGCGCCGCGCATTTGGATAACGAATGGTTTAGTAAACAACCAAAATACGTTCTAGTATTGGGCCCATGCCAACAACGAGCTGCCGAGTTTACTCGCAAATGGATCACCAGCAACATTGTATACTGTCCAACTATTATAATTATTCTAGCAAGCTGTTGTATATAATAGGTGTACTGCAAGCGATTAAAAACAAGTTAGTATTCGTTGACTTTACTAATGTCGTTAGCCGCTGTTTATTATAATCCGATAAAATGCTTTTTAAGGTCCCTTGGAGTCTTAAGCAATCCTAAAACCATGTACGAATAAGTTACAGTGAGAGCACGCCGAACGTTAGCTAAGAAACCTAGCCGAAAATATAACTTAGCTCTATGAATAATTCTGATACGACTAAAAGTCATAGCTCTATTATCTGTCCAGAAAAAAAGACCGTTGCTCTCGATTTAAATCGAAACTAACTTGGATTGTTTTGCATGAAACATGGCTACTTTTATGTGTACAGAATCATTTTCTTATATGTATAAGAAAAACAATTATCTAAAGAACAACTTTTTTTGTGCTTTCCTGGTTGCAAGTTTGGCTTGGCAAGCTGAGGTGACGCATGGTGGAAAAAATCGGAAAAGCTCTCCGTAGACTCTCACGTAAGTCTGCGCTCGCTGGCCCTAGTCGATTTATAGTAGTATTTTCTTGAGTAACTCAGTATATTGGCCCCTAGAGGAGCTATAGTACTGTTCCATGATGATACTAGCAAACGCATATAGCACTTCTATTCTCCGATAACGTCATATTATCCTCTTTAACTAATGGGGTATATGTTCTATCAATTTTTTATGATTTTTTGCGTGGTAGCTTGCCTTAAAGATACAAGCGTTAAGTAAACTGTATCTGGCTAAGGCGTGAACAGGCTCTTCATAGATAAACCGACGGTCAAATTTTTTGGCCATAAGAATTGAAAACCTGCGAAAGCTCCAAATGAAAAAAACTTTTTTTATGTCCATTGTGGTGTTTTACCTATCAATACGATAACCAATTACCTCGAGAATCATACTGTTTGCTTGGCTGCTTGAGCAGCCTAATTGTTGCGCGGGATTCTGGAATTTTAGATCAGTTTCACTAGCAGATTGAGCATAATAGCTGATAGAACAGATAGGGGTAAATGGGACAGCTGCCGCAGAGTGTCAAGGTAACTTGAATATTGAGTACTCTTTTTGAAAATTCTCAGTACCGATAGTCTCTCAATTAATGACATATATTTCAACGAATTGTTGAGATATGCGTTTATTCATGTTTGTTTGAATATAACTGCCATCCATCGCGATCACAGCTTTAAATCAAGTCCCACACCGTTTCAAAAGTTTTATTTGTAACTTTGTAAATGTCTTCTTGATAGCACAAGTAATGCGAGTCAGCCTTGTTGCGTTGAGACTCGTATTAATCGAACAGGTTCAAATATGGGCTTCTTGGCTCATCCCATTTGTTCTCATCCCAGAATACGCTTATAAGCTCACGTAAGCTGCTAATTCTACATTAGTCAGCTTATATGAGTAAGTGCACAATCCTATTGGAAAACATATGGTTCTTCTCTAGACATTTTAGCTATAAACCGTTATGCAACAGTTTGTAGAATAACCTTTCATAATGAAGAAATATAATTGGCCGAAAATTATCACTACTTTTAGTAAGTATATTCTTCGGATCGCGAGTGAACCAAGGATGAATTCTGCCATATATTTTTGGATCGAGGATAAAAATTTGTCGATAGAAGAACCAAGAGCGACCTGTTATTGCTTCATCTCTAAGAGAATTGAATGGCGAACAATACCAGTCAAATCACTTTGTTATCAGAGAGAACCTACCTCACTTCCTACATACGGTACCTATACAAGCTGTTCGTGAACAACCCGTGACATCACTTTAAAATTCTCCAGCTACGCGTTGTTATTGGATGAAAGCGATTAGCGTTCGAGTCCGCACTGTTCTTCCTTTTTAATGTTTTTTCCGTTGTGCTGTGTTGAAACCTGCTCCCACCCCTAATGCAGCCACATTCTCGTCTCATTGGCAACGCTGTATACTGTTGGTTTACGCTTACCCAAAGGAGTTCATAGTCTTTCTCAAAATTCGTCCAGCGCATAGGAATTAGATAATAGCTAATTTCCTATCAAATTCACGACATTACAAGTTTTTTTTTATAGGCTTTCGTCTGATCTTAGGAATTGCAAATGAGCATATACCCGTTGAAACAAACAGTTCGCTGAAATCTGTTCTAATTCGTGTTTTTTTTTGTAGTGCATAAAACTTCCACTAGCTTATTGGGAATCATTCGGTAAAGGGCAGCACCATGTGTATCGGTCTAAGCAGCATATATATATATATATATATATATATATATATATATATAGGGATTATAATGTCATTAATACTCACTGCGAGCGCTCCTCTTCAGTTACGCTACTATCAGAATATGTTTCTCAACACACGGCCCTATATTTTTTTCGCTCAGGGTCAGCTGTCAGCCTCAGAGGGTAGCATATTGGTAATTAGGAGGTGCACCCAGTGCGCGTGAGCAAAAATGTTAGCATAGTCGAGCTCTTTCGATAATCGCGACTTCGGCTGTTCAACGCTTGCCATTACTCGTGCCATCTTGGAATCCTCGCAGCGCGGACGCTCCTTGTTCTAACCGGGTTTCCACCCGTTGTTGCTAGGTGGGTAGGTGGCCCGATACCTAAAAGTAGTCCAAACGACGTCTTCCCTAAAATCTTCTTTCTAGTCGCGTTGAGGGAAGCGCCATCCAAGGTAGTAGGTCCTGAAATAAACGGGGCCTTTCAGCTTCCAAAGAACCGCATGTATCAATGATAGTACAGGCCACCTGCTCTGTCGAATCGTGATACTGGGGTGTACAACAAAGGTGTTCAAAATAGTTCTGTTAAAAATATATTCTGTTTAAGAGCTGACGCGTGTCAGCTTTCATCATGTGAAGCAGGTGGCTTTCAACGGGCTGACTACAATTTCGAACGTTACCTTGCGGACCGATAACACCTGAACAGAAGGCGTGAAATAATTGACGGTTACCAGGATGTGGAAGATCCTACCGCCCGGATCTTTAAGAAGATCCGTGAAGTCGTGCCTATTTTCTCACAGAAGCGTTTTCATGCCACCACCTGATGCAGTGTAATCTGTTCAGCCGCTTATTGGGTCTCTCATTTGCGCCCTGCATACTTCGCTCAGCTCGACGCTGCCGCGTCGAACTAAAAGTACGGATAACAGCGATAGAGCATCCGAGTTGGTGTTAGCGGCGCCGCTTCTGTTGATGATCTTGTGGTCGTACCTCTGTGGAGTCAGAGCCCACCAAGTCAGCTTTGGACAAGGGTCGCTTTTGCCTACAGTGCAGTACTATTGTTGATTCTCTTGCCAGCACAAATGCTGCCAGAGCTGGTCAATAAATCGTACTGCCGTTAAGCACTCGGTCTCAAAGGAATTATGTCTATTTTTGAGACGTAATTAGCGTATGCGACCACCACTTTCAGCCAAAATCTACACGGCTCTAAGCCCGATCCCACTGGCGTCCATCTGTAACCGTGTATCTAGTTTATGCAGGAGGTAATACAGAACGGGCTTCTCGGTTATCTTGGCCTTCAGGAGCCGAAAAGCCCCATGGTGATTCACACCTTAAATGATGCGTTTAAACTAAAGGGAAGATCGAACCTGTGACGTGAGTCAAGCCTTGCATAAACTACCAATAGTATGAAGCAAGACAGAAAGAGCTCTGTGGCTTCCGAGATAAAACAGTTACAGACAGACCTCCTCGGAATTCGGGAAAATCTCGTCAGCTTTGGTCAGAACACTTAATACCTCAAAGACTAAATACCTCATTTCCTAAAAATAAAAAATACTGAATATAAGTCCTAAATAAGGTACAAAAAGCATTCTGCATTTGAAGCATTCCTGTGTTCTGAACCACCGGCTGTTGTGGTCGATAAACACGAGCGCCTCCTGGAAGTACAATGTCAATGTTAAAATCGCACAAGTAGATTATGACATAGTTGAAGTAGTCGAGGGCTATTTGGTATTTCAAGGCTCCGATGGTTCTATCCAGTAGCCTTTGGAAGATGTGGACTCGTTAGCGAGGCTTAAATTGGTAGAGACCGCCAGCGTGCAAAATGCTGTTTTAATTATGTCACTGGATGCATGCTCACTAGCAATATCCACTAATCAAGTCCAAATTACTGAGGTAGCGGGTGTTAGATAACACCCGCTATCTATCCGTGGCAGTGGGTATATATATGCTGGTACATGATGCGGTTCAGTGGAACGCATTATTCCGTTACTTGTCCTCGTAAATAGGATGAAGAAGGACCATGAGCTAGACGAAAGTTCAATAATAATTCATACATTTGCACCTTATCCGCTATGACCTATGTAGAAGATCCGCTATATATATATATATATATATATATATATATATATATATATATATATATATATATATATATATATAGAAGAGAAAACAGCACATCGCGGCCGGTCGGTATCGTATGCTCGGAAAAATCAGTGTAACCAGGCTTCTCTGGTCGCTCAAGAGAAACTTTATGAGGCCGTCGTCCTGCTTTGTGGTCAGCTTGTAACTATTAATGCATACGGATGTGTCAAATGTTGTTTACGAACTTTAGAGACCGCTCCTTTAGGATAAAAACGGCATTGCAATTGGTAAAAATACGCGAAATTTATGAAGCTGACCCCCGCCCTGAGAAAGAAAATCCCTTTTCCGGTAGTGTGAGCCTGTTCAGGAAAAGTACGATATTGACAGAAAAGCAATCGGCTGGAGTATTCTGAGACACGAATACGGTAATGTTTTCGGATAATCCTGCGAACACATATTCCAATTTCGTCTAATACACGATAACGATGAGCGACTCATTACCAATCGACACAGAGCCACGAAGCGTTACATCAAAGTCATCAGCTCAGAGATGACAAGGTTAGCCACGCGGCGTAGCTACGTCGTCATATCTTCGCCTAGACTGTGATCCCTCGTCAATATCGTCAATTGTCGTCTTTGTCAATGAAAAAAAAATTAAACGGTACGATTCTAAAATTATTCCAGACCAAACTATATCATGAAACAAAACGTGTAATTGCCGTCACGCATCGAAGGTTCTATGAATGTTTTCGTGGGTGTCTTTGTTTTGGCATACTGGACCTGATCATCGAATATTAACCAATTAGCGTACATTCACAAAAGACGAAAAAAAAGGCATTTTACCTGCGAAAAGACTTCTACTAATTTAGGCGAATGCCATTTGATCTCACGAATACTTAATGTTAGAACGAATATTAGAAACTTATATACGAGGTCATTAAAGCCAGATTGCTTTTAACTACCTGAACCGTGTTGTAGGATACTTTGTTAACACTCATACGACATATTTGAAGAAAATGCTGGAGGCCATCGATTACGTCGATTTATAGTTACAGCTCAAGAAATGCATCTTGGTGACCCAAAGAGTGGCGCATTTCGAGCACAGGACTGCTACTAGAGTTTCTTGAATTTCAAGGAGACTTAAGTAGTACAAACCCTAATTAATTTACTTACTACTTATTAAGTAAGGAAAAACCCCTAACTACTCAGCTATGAATTTCACGT